TTGCCGAAGATGCGTTGCCATGGTGCAAAAATGGCGTTGGATGGCTACGCCTGAGCGCTCGCGCTGTCATCCCAGCCCACGACACGTAATCCTGCTGTGCTTCCTTGACAAATTATTTTGTTTCGCTTTGTCCTTGTTGCTGGAGGGTTTGATTCTTTGAGATGCTGTAGAGCGATTTGGAGTTGGTCAGCCGAGAGTAGTCGTGAGAAATGGAGAAAGAATGTGAGAGAACCTGAACTGCGGATAAAGTCGCTCTGTTGCAGCGGAGGCGAGCAGAGGGTTACGATCTCAGTGCCCAGGCACGTCGCTCCTGATTATTTCGAGTGGCTCGATGTGCAAGTGGCACTCGAAACCAGCACTGTGCAGAGTACCGATGTTCCTGCCAGTGTCGCTGCTTTAGCCGGGCTGGCGTTGGCGTCTCCAGCGCAAGCAGTAGCTAAAACCATTCCTGAACCGGTTCCAGTCGAACAAACTGTCGCTGCAGCTAGTGTTGGTGTTGTTTCTTCGCCTTCAGTGTCCGTGGGGTCAGCCGCAGTGGAATCTGGCACTGACAGCCAACCTGCCAAGAAGCCGAAAAGAACTTCAGGCAAGGGCTACTACTGTGCGGTTCCGCTCTGCAGTAATCGGTCTTTAGATTATGTCACTTGCATTTCATCGTGTACCCAGTGATGCAGAAAGGTGCAAGTTATGGCAATTTGAAATTAGGAGGGACGTGGGATCAAATTTCAAGATCACATCAAACACCAGAGTATGCAGCTCTCATTTCAAACAAGATGATTACGTCGGCAAGCTCCTGTCTGGTGAGGAGCCAGAAAGAAAATGGCTCAACCCCACCGCTCTGCCAACCCAGTTCCAGTGGACGGCAACTCCTAAACCAGCGAGACGAGTTCTGAAGAGAAAACGTCAAGAGTCTGAGGAGCCACAAGATATTGATGATGCCGGGGTCGTTTCTGTGGTGTCTGGTGTCTGTTCGGCTATTGACCCAGCACCGACCCCTGGTCCTGTGCAGGGTTTGCCATGTGATCACAGATATATCAGTGTAAGTGACCCGAGTGAAGTTGATGATCACATGGCTGGCCTAGAAAAAAGACTTCAGTGAAATTAAAAACGAGTACGAGAGCCTGAAGTGTCGTTCGATCGATTTAGCCAGCATCAGAAACAATCCTGACAAGTTCAGGCACTTCACCGGGCTGCCTAACTACGCAGTGTTCTCTGCCCTGTTCAAATACCTCGAACCCAAAGCCAAGAGGATGCAAACTTGGCGCGGCCTATCTACCCTTAGACATTTGTATGCCACTGGTCCTCAGCGATGGCCATTAGACGTTTCACCGACACTGGCTGACCATCATCATCACAGAATATGAATTTGTTCCAATAAATACTGCGTGAATGTGAAAAAGATTGTTACATATATTCCACCGGAAATACAAGTTCTATCAACCAACCAAGTATTCCACGTAGCTCAATCTGTGCATTCAGAAATGATTTGTTCCAGTAATAATCTAACATCAGTCCGAAGTTAATATTCAGAAATTTCTTGTAAGTCAATGTTTTACTATGATGACAGACCATTTTGATCTCTGCCAATTTCTGGTTTGAAGACATAAAAACGATGATTATTGATCCAGAAAGTCATTAAAAAATCAGTGCAATCGATGACGAGTTTTCGGTTGTTTGTGAGGGGTTGAGAGGTGAGGTGGAATGAAATGTTGCTTTCGTTCACAGTGTACTGTGTTTATGTTGGACAAGATGATACAATTCACAAACGTCAACAAACATGACGAGGAAAGATCAGAAGAGAAGCCATGATCTAGAAAAACAGTCAGAAGCACAAGCGTGCATGCATACAACATGTCTGTTACGGAAGGTCCAGACAAACTCTGCATGCCATGGCTGCAAAAATCATCCTGCGCAAACAGCAAAGCCGCGACATGTGAACAGCACTCTCCTTATCCGGAAATGCACTGGCAGTATCCACCTTAGCACACTGGATCGTCCCTGCTGATGCAGACGATACACGTGTAGGCTTGCTTTGATGTATCTTGTGATGGCCAGCATTTCGCACGGACGAAACAAAAGTTTGTTCCACCTGCAAACAGGTTTCCCTCCAAATGGTGAAGGTGGTGCTCATCAAATAATTGTTACGCACGAAGTTGCTTGTAGCACTGCAAGCTCTCCTTGTCATAATATTTTCCGGGGAATTTAACAGATAGTGCTTGACAGCCTCAGTAATGAAGAAAGGGATTTTAGTTAGGCGAGATAGAGACCAGCCAGATGTTATGTGTGAAAAGCTTGGTAGCTTCTTGTACGCTGCCATTACTGGCTTTGGTAATGCAGGCTTGTCTGCCTCCTCGTCTGGAACCCCTTCGCCAGCAGTACTCAAGTGGAAATGTTCACAGATAAGAAGGTAAAGATCACGTCTGGATACACGCCCTTGGTAGGGAATACTGTCTTTGCAAAGTTGGCGCAGCCCTTGCATGCGTAAGCGCATGATATCCCCACAAGAGGTGGGAGCGCGCAGGACAGAGCTGGACAGAAGTGAATATGTGGCCCTTTCAGTAGCAGCATCAGCTGCTGTTTGCACTGGCCCTCAGCGGCGGGTTTTACAGCAGGTTCAGGAGTGGTTTCAGCTACTAGGTATACTGCTTGCACTGGAGACGCCAGCGCCAGCCCGGCTGAAGCAGCGACACTGGCAGGAACATGGGCACTCTGCGCAGCACTGGTTTCGAGTGCCACTTGCACATCGAGCCCCTTGAAATAATCAGGAGCGACGTGCCTGGGCACTGAGATCGTAACCCTCTGCTCGCTTCCGCTGGAACAGAGCGACTTGATCCGCAGTCCAGGTTCTCTCACATTCTTTCTCCATTTCTCACGACTACTCTCGGCTGACCAACTCCAAATCGCTCTACAGTATCTCAAAGAATCAAACCCTCCAGCAACAAGGACAAAGCGAAACAAAATAATTTGTCAAGAAAGCACAGCAGGAAGACGTGTCGTGGGCTGCGATGACAGCGCGAGCGCTCAGGCGTAGCCATCCAACGCCATTTTTGCACCATGGCAACACAACTTCGGCAATGAGTGTATAGATTCGATGCAGTGCAGAGGGGATTTGTGGTGCGTAGCAACACTGCTTCACTGTGACACCCCTTCAATAATGTAAAATGTAAACAAATACATTGCTGAGTCCGACACCTCATTCCAACAACTACACTGATCCTGAGGATATAAGGGGCAAGGATATATGGTTGGAGGTACTGAGAGATAAACAAGGCACTCCATAATAATAACATGTTACACGACTTTGGGGGAGTATGAATGATATCCAGTCAAACCTCTTTAGGACGAACATCAAGGGACCGATGGCATTTGCTCTGTGAGTTTGTCTTAACCCTATTTTATAACGAGTGAATACAATTATTTCTCCAATAGAGACACGAATAGATTTCTTCTACAGCGAAAGATTCTAAGCCAGACCAAACCATTGACTCGTCTTTTATGAAACAAATGAGTCACTGAACCTTTCTTTAGCAACATGACGGCAACTGAAACAACAACAGAGAAAATACGATACATGTACAGCACATTCTTGCAGGTACAACAAACAGATTGCAGATCGTAATTCTTGCTCTACCGGCACGCAACTTTATTTGGGGCAGTGCAATCTCGGCGCTACTCACAAATCAAACAGCCCAGGCTCGAGTAAACAAATCCAATGGCACGAGATTTTCACGAGACGAGACTGCACCCATTGGCTTGTTTCGTATGAAGCAAACAAGTCACTGAATGCATGAACCTCTCCATAATGGAGATTTTCCCTGATATGCGAATTTATTTTGCATACTAGTACTCGGCCAATGCGTCCTTGAACCTTCCCCTACAGATTGGGAACTGCCAACGATGCTATGCCACTGCAAAATTCAGATTCTACCCTATGATCGGGGCACGGAATGCCGGAAGCAATCATGACCAGTGCCTTACTTGTAACGTACCAATGTACAATGAACATGAGTATTTCGACAACACATCTAAGCCTCAGCAGCAACATACAATGTAAGCCTTACCGTCAAGAAGGTGAACTCGCGTTCTTCGCACACTGTTGGCAAGGGCAAAGAGATACGAATGGATCTAAATCCGAATAAAATCAGCACACATTTCCGTAAATGAAAGGGTGAGCATAAGCAAATGAATCGAAGGAAACTGGTCAACTCAGAGATCACCTGTCATTGAGTATTCCGTAAAAGGAGGCCTCGACAGCAGAAAAGCTTTATTTAGAAAAGATATCCTGTCAGCTTTTCCATTATTTATTGTATTCCACCTAAAATGAGCACACTTTTCGTAAATGAAAGAGTCAACACAAGCAAATGAATCAAAGGGAACTGGTCAACTCACCTGTCATTGAGTAATATTCCGTGAAAAGAGGTCTCAGCAGAGCCGAAGCGAAATAAGCCAGGACACGAAGTATCCGAAACAGCTCATGCAAGAAGCAGTTCCAAAGAAGGAAGTTCCTCGCGCATGCACATCCGAAAACGGACTGCACTGCATGCAACACAATGTCTGCCGTGCACGTGCACAGCACGCGGCTACCACCCGTTGGTAGATCTAATACCGAGCACCTTACGTAGAAACTTACGTAGCCTAAGTGAAGTACCGAGCACCTTACGTAGAAACTTACGTAGCATAGCGGTGTCGTTTTTTCTGCCATGTGAACACAATAATAGAAAAGCTGACAGGATCGCTTTTCTAAAATTATTGTGTTCACATGGCAAGAAAAACGACACCGCTATGCTACGTAACTTTCTACGTAAGGTGCTCGGTATTTCACTTAGGCTACGTAAATCTCTACGTAAGGTGCTCGGTATTAGATCTACCAACGGGTGGAAGCCGCGTGCTGTGCACTGCACGGCAGCAAGAGTCTTGACGGCAGACATTGTGTTGCATGCAGTCCGTGTTCGGATGTGCATGCGCAAGGAACTTCCTTCTTTGGAACTGCTTCTTGTATGAGCTGTTTCGGATATTTCGACTCCTGGCCTGGCTTATTTCGTTTCGGCGCTGCTGAGACCTCCTTTCGCGGAATATTACTGACAGGTGAGTTGACCAGTTCCCTTTGATTCATTTGCTTGTGTTCACTCTTTCATTTACGAAAAGTGTGCTGATCTTGGGCGGAATGCAATAAATAATGGAAAAGCTGACAGGATCTCTTTTCTAAATAATTTAGCTTTTCCGCTGCCGAGGCCTCCTTTTACGGAATGCTCGATGACAGGTGATCTCTGAGTTGACCGGTTTCCTTCGATTCATTTGCTTATGCTCACCCTTTCATTTACGGAAACGTGTGCTGATTTTATTCGGATTTAGATCCATTTTTATCTCTTTGCCCTTGTCTACAGTGTACGAAGAACGCGAGTTCACGGTAAGGCTTACCGGTATGTTAAAATGTGTTGTCGAAATACTCATATTCATTGTACATTGGAACGTTACAAGTAAGGCACTGGTCAGTGGCATACTATCGTTGGCAGTTCCCAATCTGGAGGGAAAGGTTCAAGGACCCATTGACCGAGTTTGCAAAATAAATTCGCATATCAGGGAAAATCTCCATTGTGGAGAGGTTCAGTAAACTTGTTTGCTTCATACGAAACAAGCCAATGGGTGCAGTCTCGTCTCGTGAAGATCTCGTACTTGTATGATTGGATTTGTTTACTTGAGTCTGGGCTGTTTGATTTATTATTTGTGAGTACCGCCGAGATTGCACTGCCCCAAATAAAGTTTCGTGCCGCCAAAGCAAGAATTACGATCTGCAATCTGTTTGTAGTACCTGCAAGAATGTGCTGTACATGTATCGTACTTTCTCTGTTGCTGTTTCAGTTGCCGTCATGTTGTTAAAGAAACGTTCAGTAGAGAGGTTCTGCAAAACGAAAATTCGAACGAAGTTTCTCGACAGTCCTTGCGAAAGTGTGTACGAATTTTTGCACGAACTTTGCGTTCTGCACATTTTCGTAGTTTGCGCGGGCCAAGTGCACGTACGCCATGACCCGATCTCACGAAATGTCCTACGAGTACGACAGTTCATTTCGCGTTCCCTGCAAGTTTCGCGTCCCAAGTTGCGAAGTTTTGCACTTCATGGCAATGAACGAACCTTTTTACGCATTTTCGTTTTGCAGAACCTCTCTAGTGACTCATTTGTTTCATACGAGACGAGTCAATGAGTTGGTGTGGCTTAGAATCTTTCGCTGTAGAAGAAATCTATTCGTATGTCTATTGGAGAAATAATTGTATTCACTGGTTATAAAATAGGTAAGACAAACTCACAGAATAAATACCATTGGTCCCTTGGTGTTCGTCCTAAAGAGGTTCGACTGGATATCATTCATACTCACCAAAAGATGTGTAAGATTTTATTATTATGGAGTGCCTTGTTTATCTCTCAGTACCTCCAACCAAAGCCTATCCCCTTTTATCCTCAGGATCAGTGTAGTTGTTGGAACGAGGTTTTGGACTCAGCAATGTAGTTGTTTACATTTTAATACATGTTTATTGTTCCTCCTTTGTGTTGTTTTAGAAAATCGTGGACTACCAGTTTGAAGTCATTGAACTACTTCCAAAAGTTGTATCGACATCAACAGGATTACGATTTCAGTGCAATATGATGCAGGATGACCTTATCACGATAACCCATGATTATAAACCATTATAAACACAGAATCAACAAAAACATCTGCGACAAGTACCTTGTTACATTTCTCAAATAAATCTGATCGAGGGTGGGGAAATCTGAAATATCTGAAAGGCAAGACAATTTTATGACAGTCATGAAACACCCTAGTAAAATAAATAAAATAATAATAATAATAATAATAATGTAGAAGAGAAAAGGACATATGGATACGAGTTAAGAGTAACTCTCCATCACTGTAACATGATACTTTATACAGTATCATGTTACAGTGATGGAGAGTTACTCTTAACTCGTATCCATATGTCCTTTTCTCTTCTACATTTATTTATGGCTCAACATCCGAGTTTAATAATAATAATGAAATTCTGCTACAGCAACATGCACAGAATGACCTCCTTATAAAAAAAGTATCACCACTGTCCACCACTACACTCACATGTATCCCCGCAGAAGAACATGCTAGTGCTGCAAGAAAAGGCTTGCACATCAATGCGTATGATACGGTGTAATTGACATGATGTGAAGGCCATCATTTACCTAATTATTGATATAGGGCATTCCATTGGTGACAGAAAAAACAAAAGAAATTATAGCAATAAAAACTGCTTTATGGCAGTTTTCTAAAAAAAAGTTATTGTGTTCTCGTCCATGGACCCCGTCTAAAAAGTAAGAAATTAACGAAATGTGATAGCCGAAAATTAAAATTTCACACAAAACCTCACAATAATCACATACAGAATGAAAAGCTACATGCAGAAGACCTGTAAAAGGCCCTAGGCCTGTGGGACTGCCGTATTCAAAATTTAATAATAATAATAATAAGGCCCGATATCTGAGACTTTCGACCTTCGGGGCTACGCGTTTTTTTTGAGAAAACACTAAAAACAAATTTGTTCGCAAAAAATCGATTCCGTCAAAGCAAAGTGCAGAGACGACAATGGCGGAAGAAAATTGAAGGCGATTCTTCTGTCAGTTGGTTATTGGGCTCACGGAGCACAGCAGCCGCGATCCCATGGACGGTGATGCATCGTTCTTTGTGGATATCCTGTCAAGCGGCGACAGCGCTTCTAGTTCTGAGAGCGCATGTCAGGCGAATCGATCGCAAGTGACACGCGGTACTTACCTGTCGGGGGCGACGATGATGAGGACTTGGCCTGGATGGGTATGATCAAGGCCAACCACAGTCTGCCTCAGCGATAGCTGCTACAGCTCCAGGCAAGGACAACCAGGTGGATTCCTGAGGGTACGCCGCTTGCAAGGCCGCTGGGCGCCCTTGCGCGAGTGGCAGAACTGTTTCCTGAGTGTCACGCCAGACCTGCTAAAACGGCACGAAATGATGGAAGTTTTCTTTGCGACGATGATCCTAACATGTTTTGGATGGCACGCTCGATACTCGAGCTAATAATGGCGAATCAGACCATCACGGAGCACATGAGGCTGGGCAATCTCGAGTAACATTCTGTTACTTTTGAGTTGGTGGTGTGAAACGCTTGTCAGACTGTGTTACTGATGTTTGGAAATGGTCAGTCTCCACAAAGTGCTACAAGGCGAATCTGGACGCATTTGCTCCGTTTGACTCCTTCACAATAAGTATGTGAATGCTGTTACATGTAACATGGTGTTCCATCAAAATCTGTTGCAGACAATCCTGTCAAGCATGTCCATCACCAGGAGAACAGATAAATCACCTCTCCTTCTAATGCTGCCATTGCTGCTGTTGCAACTACACAACCTCAATAAAGTCACGGAATGCTGAAATGAAGTACCTGAACAGTCAAAACACTTTACTATATTAGATATCACATGGAAACAATTTTTGGTGGCTCCAAACACACTGATATTTCAAAATTGTAAAAAAAGAACAATTCATTAACATGACTCCTGACTGTAGAATGCATTTCTACATGGTCAATATTGGTCTGATGGCCGTGAAACGAAGTCACAATACTCTACAAAGGCAAGACATCAATTTGCAATAAAAAAATCAATTTCACCAAAACAGCCCCGAAGGTCGATTTTCTCAGATATTGGGCCATAAGACCTTTTCCCCTCGTGATCCTCTTTCCTATGCATGCATGACATGCATGTTGCCAATAATTATTGTTGTGCGGTACAAGTTTAGTGTTGAAAGCAGCATTTCAAGTGTTGTGATTATTGTGAGGTTTTGTGTGAAATTTTAATTTTCGGCTATCACATTTCGTTAATTTCTTACTTTTTAGACGGGGTCCATGGACGAGAACACAATAACTTTTTTTTAGAAAACTGCCATAAAGCAGTTTTTATTGCTATAATGTTGATAGCGGCGGTGCACCGCCGTGGCCGGTGCAGTGGGCCATAGATCGTCGACGACGACGCGTCGGCAATTTGTTACAGGTGATTACGTCATTTTTCGTACCAAAAATCTGTGCTGTATATAAAATCGCGAAATACAGCTCATTTCGCACCCTTGTTTTGAATCTTTCAAAACAAGTAATGAGCTATGAGATAGATAAACGATGTCCTCAACAGCAGGTGAGGGTGTCGATAGGGATACACAGGCGCTGCAGTTAGATCTTGCTGGTGTTGTGAAGGGCCTTCATGAGAGCTTGAGGAAGAAACTGAGAGCTGCTGCACGTCAAGAGGACGGCAGCTCGGCTGCTGAACGTGGCGACGACAGCGAAGTGTGGAGTCGAGTCTGGGCAGAGCACTGCGATGACAAGGAGCAGCTGGAAAAATACTCGCAAGCCATGCGAGGCCTGGCGTGCTCAGTGTGGAAAAGCCGAGGCCAATCACGGCTGAGCTGGTGCGTGGATACATGCAGAGAATACTTTAGAGATGCTGACGGTGGCTTGCGCCAAATGCTACGAAAGGAGCACAGGAGGGGATACAAAAGTGAGAGCAATGGTTTTTATAATATTTCTCAATGTGCGCAAGCTCCACTGCAGCCACTTCATTACCTGGAAAACCTAAATTAAGCGGGATTCACAGAAGCTTTTTTTGCGATGCGACACGCGATGCGACAGCCGCGAAACCGGGAAATCCCTAAATCGCAGTCATCTCGGACCCCACGCAACTGCCGCAACAGGGCCATCGTGGAAGTTGAGCTTGGCTCAACTTTTGCGATGCGACAAGCGATTCGGCGTACGATTTTGACCTTTTCTACAGCAAAGTTGTACAAAGGTTCAAGAGTTGCCTATAAATTTGTACAAGTAGTACCAAACCGCGCGAATACCATGGTGATATACCCACCTGCATTGAACTTCGCGCCAAATCAGCAAGGCGTTGTCGCATCACTGACTTCTTCTGTGAATGGTATTTCGCGAGTTCGCATCGCATGCGTCCGTCGCAGATCACGTCGCATCGCGTGTCGCATCGCAAAAAAGCTTCTGTGAATCCCGCTTTACACACTTGGAATTGGACCTATAACAGGCAACACAAAGTGGAACGAAACTACACCATACGTGATAAAATTGCACCATCCTTTCAGCACAGGCACACACACACACACGCACACACACACACACATATATGCCCATCGCGTTAAACATAGCAACTTGTGCTGGGATTACACATTTAACAGCTTGCAAGGCTGATGAATTGACCGCCACTGATTTTAGCCTGGTATCCACCACACAGTCACAGTTACACCTACTGCCTAACATCAGTCGACCTCAAAGAGCTACTCAGACTACTTCTACACAACAACGTGTTCCAGCACCCAATCCTTGGAACATTTAAGTAGATAAAGGGGTTGGCAATGGGTAGCCAACTCAGTTGCACGTTAGCCATTGTCATCATGGACCGCTTTGAACAACATAACATCTACCGAGATATCTGACAGAAGAATGGAACAGCTTTACACTAATGCCTCGCAAAGTGTCGTGGGCGGTGGAAAACTGCGTGTCCAGATATCACATGTGAGTGGCATTGCTCCAGTCTCCATACAGAACTGCAGAATAGTAATGACAGCGTCATGGCAGGTGATCCGCCATACCTGCCCATCCTGGACAATGGAACTGAGCTGTTACACAGAGGTACACCAACAGACACAAAATCAGTCTCTACTGCGTCCTTACATCATTTCACTTTATAGTCTAGGTGCAGGTTTTGCATACCCATCGAGACATGCCCCCCCTGCTCAAAATACACTCAGACATGAGCCCAACCCCCCCCCCCCCCCAAACCCAACCCATACACTCAGACATGAGACCACCACCCCCACCCCCCACCCCCCAAACCGCACACATACACTCAGTCATGAGTCCAATCCCCCCCCCCCCCCCCATCCAAACCCCACACATACACTCCGACATGAGTCCACCGCCCCCCCCCCCCCCCTCCCAAACCCCACTCAGACATGAGCCCAACCTCCCAACCCCCCCCCCCCCCCCCCCACACACACACTCCCAAACCTCGCACATACACTCAGAAATGAGCCCAACCCCCTCCCTCCCAAATCGCACACATACCTGCCCTCATACAAACATGAACCCACACACAAGCAAGTAGAAAATGCTGGAAGAAACACACATCCACAAACACATACAACACAGAGTGTGGTTGCTAGCAGAAAAACGCACGCACACCCAGACATAAACACAGAGTGTGCTTGCATGAACAAACACGCACACACGCACACACACACACGTCGAGACATAAACACAGAGTGCGGTTGCTTGCACAAACACAAACATATACACACACACATACACACATACATACACGTTGAGCCTTGAACGCCCATTGCCGTAGCAATAATAGGGATGGCTTCCTCTCATTGAGGCTCTAAACCCGAAATCTGTAGTATGGCGCATGTCACTTGAGGTCACCAAGACGACAGAACACTCTGTCACAGCGGTAGTTGGTCACTTGGTGCACGGGATGTCTGTGGCTTCTTTCTTCCCCCTTTGTTGACCATACTGAAACCAGGTGGATCTCTCCTGCGCTGTGTCATACCAGTCCACCTCAGACAAACCGATGACAGTGAAGTCCGAGGACACAACATCCCGCCAGGGCTTCTTGGCCTTGGGACCATGTTGCGGGCGTTTGCAGCGCGGTTCAAGGAACAGCCGCATGATCTGCTTGGGCAGCCGGGTCTCCGTCATCTGTGCATCATGACCAAGCCACTGCAGGCGGTGCTTCCTGATCACATCGGCC